TTTTCTTGCCTTTGCTCAATTCTATGAGCAACAGGATCATTAAAAATGGTGTTTTAAGGAAGCCCAGGCGAGCTAAGGGGGGAGACCAGATCGGAAGGCGACTAGATCAGACGATTTCAGACAGACCAGCAGCCTGTGTTGAACAAGGGGGAGGGTGGCCTGGGAGAAAGGGAGTGCTCCCCCCCCTTTGGCCATCCCCAGCCCCCACCACCCGCCCCGCATGCCTGGGGACTTACAGAGCCAGCGGTCCGAGACCACCCGGATGAAGTACTGCGGAGGAAGGGGCTCAAAGACCGGCACGAAGAAGGTGATCAGGTGCTCATCCTGCGCGTACTTGGCTTTCAGCAGGAAGTACTCGTGGTGGAGGATCACCTCGCTGTCCACATCCTCCACCAGGATCCAGAACGCCTCAGAGGAACCGTGGACCTAGCCCAAGTGGGGGGAGAGAGGCCAGGCTTCACCCTCTGCAAGGGGGAGCACGGACGCACACCACCCCCTCCCAGAAGGGAGGGCAGCCTCTCCCCGCCATCCTGCTGTCATTCTACCTGTTCTACCTCCGACCTGCTCTGGTCCTGAGCAAGCTTGCCCTCGCCCTTGGATCCTCACCGCCACCACCACCACTGTGACTCTCCCCAACATTGCGAAGGGCTGCATCCGGGGGGGTGGGTCCCCTTTACCTTTTCATCCCACTGAAAATCTGGGGTGATGGTCAGCTCCACCTTGAGAGTGGACCGGGTGATGGGCTGCAAGTGGACAGACAGCTCCAGCTTTGGGAACAAGTGGACGTATTTATGGATGGTCTTCCCCATCTTCGGCATACGGATGAGCTCCCCTGTCAAGGAAGGGAAACGGACAGCGGAGCAGCGGGTTAAGCACCATTACAAAGGGAGGCCAGAGATATGACCGCACCTTCTTTATGCTCTCAGTAGGCGGCAAAGCAGGCACGGTCGTATTCTGCAACTGAGCCAGCACGGAATTGGAGCCAAAATCTTGTTCGTAAAAACCAGAGGTGTCAGGACAATTCCATCACAAGCCCACAAGCTCTTGCTCCTCAAACGGGGAGGGAGAGAGACAGAGACACAGGCCTCCTGTTCACTGACCTATTTCATTGTGATTCAAGTCATACAGCCGCTCAAACGGGAAGTTCTTCTTCTCAATTTTCTTCACCACCTCTTCGGGCAGCTTCTTGAACTGGCGCAGGGGACACATGGACTGCCACCTACGGGCACAAGACAGACCGTCAGGACTTGAACAGCCCATTGTGGCCGGGAGACGCCAAAGGTCAGGATGAGACGTCACCAGGACCCTCAAGACTCCTTCAAACTGGATGGAGGACCATTTCTCCCCGGCCACACACACACACACACCAGCGTCTTACAAGGGCTGGATGGTCAAAAGCACGACACCTCGGGCCTGCTCTTCCCAACCTGAAATCTCACAAGGCTTCCCTTGCTCTTTGACTTCGGGTTGTGGGTTTGCTGCTCGGAAGAATGGAGCAGATGCTTGACCGACTGTACCACCCATCTGACAGGCCAGGATTCTCCCACCACAAGTACAAAAATGAACAACCAGGTCTTCTGACATCATAGCACCAGATCCTTGGACAACAATGACTGCAAGGCTGCAGTCTGACCACTGCCTTTACAGAACAGATCTTTAGGATCCAGTAACTTTCTGCTTTTACTAAAAAGCCAGGATCTGGTTCTTAGGATGGCAAAGATCCCTTTCACTGCCAGCAAATGCATCAGCCACTAGTTGAGGTGCTGGAAGGACACACAAGGCCTGTGCATAGCAAGAGTACAGGACTTCCCCCCAACCCAAGATATTCTGCCTCCATTTTAACCCACAGACCTGGACAAAACAACACAGTAAAGGTAAAACACTCCTCCTTCCAATGCACCAGCATTCTGCCAGCAAAGTAAACACTTTAAAGAGTTGCCCAGAATTTCATTTGGTGAAGACCAGATTTGTGTGGCCTCCTTTCTCCAGAATGCAAGGCTTCTCGTAGTGGCCAACCTTCTTGTACGTCCATCGAGAAACCCACGTTACTCTCAGCCTAAAACTTCTTATTTTGTTGGAACTTATTTCCAAGTAGAAAGACATGAAGAGTGGGAAGCGCAGCGGAGTCCTTGCAATGAATTACTTAAATGGAAAGTCTAATGTGGCCTCCTTTCTCTAGAACCGCAAGACTTCTCGTACTGGCCAGCCTTCTTCTACGTCCATCGAGAAACCCACGTTACTCCCAGCCTGAAACTTCTTATTTTGTTGGAACTTATTTCCAAGTAGAAAGACATGAAGAGTGGGAAGCGCAGCGGAGTCCTTGCAATGAATTACTTAAATGGAAAGTCTACAACATGTGAAGGATCGAGAGATCCTGCCACTTACATGCGCTTATCAATCATCTTGCAGAGGTTCAAAGTCTTGTCTGTGAGCTGCGCCCAGCCGCGATTCAGGACGATTTCAAAGATGGCACGCATGAGCCGCCCAGCAGACTGGAAGGGGCAGAAAAGAGAGGGACGACGTTTGTGGTGGGAGGAGAACAAGGAACCAACACCCAACCTATCAAAAAGCTTTTAATGTAGGTCATAAACACGAACGGGCATCTAATCAACCGTCACTCCCATTTTCTAAAGCATTCTAGTTTCTAGATCCCCGACACAACTGATGCCAGGCCGTGCCAGGGGCTCTTGGAACGGGTACCCACCTGAGTGACGTACACCATGTCTGCCATAAGAGCAAAGCCTTCCAGTTTCAGTTGAGAGATGAAGGCCTGGAGGAGCACGTTGATCTAAAAAAGGGAGAAGAGACCAGAAAGGGTTTACCCTCCCCTGCCCCGGAACCAATCTTCCCCTCCCCTGGGGTGTAGGGGCAGGAAAATTAATCCATGGGTTTTTTCCCCCTTCTTTCCTTTTTTTGCAGGGTGGGTCTGATTTAAATTGGGAGACTGACAATTTAAACAAACCCAGACCCAGGAGCTCCTTGTTCCTGAGGCCCAGCTCCTTCCTCCCCACCCCCCCGGAACAGTGAGGAGGAGAGGAACCCCTGCCAGGATCCCTGACCAGCACACTGAGCAGGATCAGAGAGGTTTCCGCTCCTTTGCCCTCTTCCCCAAGTAGGGAAGGAAGAGCGAAGCCAGGTTTCCAATGAAAACACCTGGTACGTGGCTCCTGTGGAAATGGAAAGGTACCCACACAATAGACACACACACACACCCCTCCCCGTTCCCATGCTCTTTAAATTCAGGGAACGTTGTTCATGAGGGACCCACGTTCTCAAGGAGGAAACGCTGGGCTGACCTTTGCGCTCGGTTCCTCAATGCTCTCTTTGACAGGGATCGGGACCCGCTCTAGCAGCTTCTGCAGCTCCAGTTTCTCTTCCTGGGAACAAAAAAACCCCATGATTAGGAAAGAAGGTACAGTGGTGCCCTGCATAGCGACATTAATCCGTTCTGGATTAATCGTCGCCATGAGGAAACATTGCTAAATGGAGCGGAAAAAGCCATAGGAATGCATTAAACTTCCTTTGATACGTTCCTATGGGGCCCAAACTCACCGTTCAGAGAAGTTCCTCTATAGCGCTGCCATTTTCGCGCCCTCGGTAAGCGAGGGCAGGGCGCGAAAACACTTGCGGTGACCATTTTGGGCACTCGGCGGCCATTTTGGAACCACCAATCAGCTGTTCAAAAAACATCGCAATGTGAAGATCGGTAAGCAAAACGCTTACCGATCATCGCAATGCGATGTTTTGCCCATTAAAAAAATAGATCGCTATGCGGATTCGTCGCTAAACGGTGCACTCGTTATGCGAGGCACCACTGTATCGAGGAACAAACTCTTATCAGGCCCGCGTCCTAAAACTATGTTAAAGAGAGAAGGAGGAAGCTGTGGTCTTGAGTGCAGAGGCCCGTGCTGGAAAATTCATACATTGGAAGAGGACTCAAGATGCCTCGTATGAAGTGGGCTTTCCAGTGAGCACGGCAACACGACTGTTCATCCCCAACGATAAAACACGACTCAGTCCCTTGAAGTCTGAATACAAATAGCACTTCTCTAATATTTGAAAGGTAGCCCCGTAGAGGAGGGACAGAATCAGTTCTCAGTCATCCCAGAGTGCAGGACATGCAACAATGAGCTCAAGCTATGGAAAGTCAGATTTCAGTTGAGTATCAGGGAAAACGTCTTAACTGTTCGAGCAGTACGACAATGGAACCCAGGACGTCGGGAAGTGGTGAGCCCTCCAACGCTGGAGGCCCTCAAGAGGAGATTGGACAACCCTCCGTCAGATCTTCTTTGATTGGGATTCCTGTCTTGAGCAGGGGGGTTTGGACTCAATGGTCTTAGAGGCCCCTTCTAACTCCACGATTCTAGGATACTATGAAGTACAACCATCATGGCATTTCAGAAGGGGGGGGAGAGAACCACCACACCCACCCCAAATCTTGTGTTTTGCAGCTCACAGAACTCTGCCAATCTAATACCGACATATAGGCATGGGGAATCCATCCCTGTCTTTCTTTCTGTTAGGGTTTTGTTTCAAATTAGTATACCAAAAAAAACCCAAGAGAACTTTCATCAACCAAAAAAGAGAGAGAGATAAATCCATAGAGGGCTGATTAGCAAACTGGTTCATTTGACCCTCCACTAAATCCTTCGGGAAATGGAAGTAGATGCCAGCCAAGCACGGTCAAGTTTGGACACCTAATGAAGGAAACCGAGGCTCAAATAACCCTTTCTGAGTCTTCTTCAGTAAAAGTCAAGGAGAAAAGCCCTCCTGCTTGTGCCAAGAAAATCTCTGCAAGAACAGGAACGAGAGGCTGAAGCGCCCACTGGGGCGTCCGCTCAATGGCTCTTCGGGCTCATACCTCTCTCACAGTGATGTTCTTGAACTCCGAGGACAAGGAGAAGACTCGGAACAGTTCGATCTCGCTCAGGGTGGGCTTGAGCAGCTGGTTGTAGGTCTGCACGGTCTCATTGGTGATATAGTAGTGGCTGGCAATACGGCCCAGCTCGGTGACCTGCACGCATGGAGAAGAGAAGAGAAAGAGATGCCGCTTCTGTGTCACAAAGACCAAAGAACAAACCAAGCTGGGAAAGGTCTTTCTTTTCTGAACAACCACATCCAGAAACACCCAGCCCGCCTGGCCATCAAGCTGTGGCATTCTGAAGATGCAGTCCCAAAAAGTAACATTTCCAAGGCCGGTCAGAGAAGCACTACTTTTGGAAGACAGAGACTTGATCAGGCAAGCAGATGAACGGGCAACCAGATCCACTGCTTTCAGCTGCCAGAACACACTCTGTAAACACAACTCATGCTCTCTTCCATTCCTCACCTGGAAGTTTCCTGTCTTCTTGTCATACTTGACCAGATTATTTTTGTCCAGCATCAGCGCTGCGGTGTGGACCAAGTCCAGCCGGCGCTGGTCCAGCAATGGATCCCCTTTGAGGTCATCGTGGGATATCCCATAGAGAGTGGGGGAACGCAGCATTCGGATGTAGAGGTAAGTGTAGCCCAGCCAGTTCACAGCATCCTATATCAGACAAGAAAAATGTATCAGAATCCGTGACTACAGTGCGGTAAGAATGACATCTGTCAATCCTCATTTCCTGGAAGGGAAAAGGGAAGGAAGGGGCAAAGAGCCGTGCTGACATCACAAATCGCTCAAAGGGATGCTGAAAAGACATCTCTCGGAGGAAGCAGTTAACGGCCCAATTGGTTCCTCTTGAAATGGAAATAGTGGATGGAAGCACACAGCCCAGAAATATTCACTCATCAAAAGAGAAAATGAGAACTGGACTCTCAGCCAACACAGAGCAAGCCAGTGTTCTTCACCTGGGCACCTTTATAGGTGTCAGAATATAATCTCCATCACAAACACAGAGAGAGAGAGAGAGAGAGAGAGAGAGAGAAACTGGCATGGGCAATAGCCACTATGGTTACTGTTGTCCACTGGAGGATGGACTACAATAAGAAGGTTGGGGAAGGTTGACCTAAAGCGAGAGACTTCAGGGAAGAGCAGACAATAGCTGAAATCCTGTAGGTGTGCTTACACCTGCAGAAGGCTCACAATGTCACCAGCCGGGCAATTTTTTAGAAATTAGAACCTTCCTACTTCTGTCTCAAGGCTCCCAGGGTTCCCTCATAAATCCTTCCATTGTCAGGAAGCTGGGGGAATGGGAGGAGGAAGTCTATTAACTGTCAAAGGTTGCTGCCACTGGGATGATGGCACCAGCCTTCTTCAGGCAAAGGTTATGACAGGATTTCAGACGAGACCTTCTCCCAATCATCCACCTCTGCTACTCCCCCATGGTAGCACATTTCACACACAGCTGAGAACCCAGATTCCAAAATTAAAAACTACACAGTTTTTGCTTTATGCACAACATTTTATCGGGGGTAACCCCCCCTTTTTTATTTTTTGCTGATTTCTTGAGTTCCAAGGGCTGCAACCACTCCACATCTGGACCTTGGGAGTGTGGCCCAGCCCACGTTAAAAAAAAACCCAAGTGAGACACTCCATACTGCACTTGACCGATCCCCAGTTCTAGTAAGAGGGGAGCCCCCATTTCAGACAGGATTTGTTTCCTCACCTTAGCATTCTGGACGTTGCCCAGCACGATCTCTGCGTTGAGCATGTCTGGGAGCTTGGCCACCATCTGGCTTTCGATGGGCAGCTGCTGATTGAGCAGCGAGAGGTAATACTGCAGCTCTCCATGGGAGGTGATGAGGATTCCCTCGCCCTTGGTGTCGTACTGAGGTCTCCCGGCACGACCCAGCATCTAAACAAGCACAGAGTCTGACATGTAGAGGGGAATCTGAGGACCCATGGACCAGCACAGCTGGACCCCAAATCCACAGAGAAGACTCTGCACTGTCTAAGATAAAACAGCACAGAGAAAGCACTCCAGCCCTCTTCGGTATCCTGGCGATACTGCAACAGAAAGACCCCTTCCCCCTGACCTCCTTCGTTGTTGCTCCGTTCATGGGAAGCAAGAGGGGAAGAGGCATGTTCAGGTAAGCTTCTCCAGGGGAGCCAGAACCTTGATTCCCCTTGGAGAGGGTGACTTTTAACCCACAAAAGCCATTAAGCTGTATCCTTTTACCTGCAGGATGTCCAGGGCCCCCAGCTCAGTCCAGCGGCCCTTTTCTGGACTGTACACCTGTGTCCCTTTGATGATGACCGTGTGAGCAGGCAGGTTAACGCCCCAGGCCAAGGTTGCCGTAGAGACCAGAACCTGAAAGGGAAGCACAGCCAAGACCCGGTGGGTTAGTAGTGCCTCTGGTGCAAAAGGAATTTTCAACCTTTTTGTCCATCTACCAAATGGACACACTCAAAATTAGGATCGCCACCCAATATGAGAACAAAACAAAACAAAGAGCATGTCTCCTACTAACATGACCAACTTCCTGTGGATGAACAGAGACGTTCCCCCTTCTGGTTTTCTTTACTGATACACAAGCGCTAGGAAGGACAGCCAAGAAAGAGGAGCATCTCAGTTATACCTCTTGCCGTTATCAAATTAAGCTATGCAGCCAGTTCATCAGCTACAAACTGAAAAGGGGCCAGAAACGTCTGCACAAAGCGTCTTTTTTTTCCGGACAGAGCCCTACAGCTTTCAGCACCCAATCTGGCCTGAAAACAACAGAACAGCCACCTGCTGCAGCATCGCGCAAACGCATTTGATTCATAGTCACGGAATAAGGTACAGTACTGTACTACCGTTCCATTTGATACAGAGCGTTCTAGAGTACCCAGGAAGATGGAAAGCATTTAACTACTCCTGGATAAGGATCACCTTTACCGGGAAATTCTTTAGTTAGCCTGGTGGTAAAGAAAACAAACACACGGATGGACGGAAGTTCTCGAGTACCTGAATATGCTTGTCTGCAAATAAATCTTCCACCAGCGTTCGGTCCACCCTGGTCATGCCGGCATGGTGAATGGCGAAGCCGTAAGGCAGCAAGTCTTTCAGTTCCAAATTCTGCAAAGGAGAAGATGACATTCCCAGCGTCAGACTCAGAAGAGAAGAGTCTTCCCAATCGCCTGCACTTGTGTCAATTAAAAAGAGAGAACACTCCGGAAAGGGAAAATTCAAGATCTCTTAAGGAGGCCCTGATTCACAGATCACCTTTTCCAGAGGTCAGTGAGCTCAAGTGAGTAAGGTTCCTGGCTGAAGAGCCAGAAGTTGGGAGTTTGATCCCCCACCTCCTGGGAAGAGCCAGCCTGGGTGGCCTTGGGCTAGCTGCAGTCCCAGGGTGCCCCCTAGAGGAAAGGAAGGGCAAAGCACTTCTGAGAGTATTCTCTAACTGGAAAACCCTGGAAAGGGTCCCCGTAAGACAGAACTGACTAGACAATACATGATGATGATGATGATACTCGCCTCCAGATTCAGCAGCGCCATTTCTGGAGTAGCCCAACCATGCCAAGCAAGACTTTCCAGGAAAGGTAAAGACCTGCCATAATTTTGGTTGGCTTTTGGAAACAAATGGGTGTTCCTTTCTGGCTCTTCTATCCACTCATTTCACTGCTATGTGATCTGGAAGTTGAGTCCTCGCAACGGGACTTCTTTCTTATTAGAGTGAAACATTCTGCTGCTCATCCAAGCAGCCTCTTCAGTCTGGGGAGAGTTAGTAGGAGACCCCCAACATCTCCTACCCGCTGGGACTGAGAATCTTCACCAAGATACTGCGATGTGATGTTTTTCACTCATCTTTTCTTCACTGTGTAATTCACTTAGCAGCTTTCTGTAGCTCAGTAGCTACTTCTGAAATTACCAGGATAGTGATACTTTCAATGAACCAAGAAAGACAGACTTGCCTTGCACTGCTCGGCTTCTGTCCGCAGGACCTCGGTGGAGGCGGAACCCTCCCGCAAGAAGAGGCCCAGGGTGTCCTTCTCCAGACACATGTCCCTAATGGCTCGGGCCGTCTTTCCCGTCTCCTTCCTGGAGTGGACAAACACCAGCACCTAGAGGCCCAGAGGAGAAAGCAAAAGCGAGGATCAGGCCTCTGGGGTGGTCAGGCATCAGGCAAGCAGGGGTGGAAAGGACGCTGAGAGAGTCACATGATGCTGAGAAGATGCACTTCAACGCATTCTTCTTTTTAATGCCACTCTACACCTTTTTTTTGGAAGTTTCAGAAGCAATACATCTGACACAAGACAATCACAGCAGGTGAAGAGAAACAAAAGACGCTCCCAAGTGATCCTACCTGGTTCTTCCCGGCATGCTCCATGATCTTCTCGTACACAATCTCATTCATGATCTGGAAGCGCTTGATGGCTTTCTTCTCCGTAATTCCCACATAGGTCTGTTCCAGGGGCACCGGGCGGAAGCTACAAAGAGAGTGGTGGGGATAAGGCCGACCGAGCAGTGAGATGTACAGAAGACAAGATGTTCCTCACAAAATTCACTACTGTGATACACAACCTCACCAGCAAATGCAAGCAGGGCTGAAGGGCTATCCCCCTCCCCAGTTGTATCTATTGATGATATGGAACTCCTCTGATCCAGTTCCGGGTTTCCTCTCAAGGGGACTCCTCGCCTCTCAGCCAAAGCGCCACGGTCCCTACCTGTTGTCAAAGTAGAACAAGCCTTTGGCAGGCTCCACCCTCAGGAACGTGGCCACGTCCTCGTAATTGGGAAGGGTGGCACTCAGGCCAATAAGCCGGACATCCTCCTGGGTCATGAGAAGATGCACTTCAACGCATTCTTCTTTTTAATGCCACTCTACACCTTTTTTTTGGAAGTTTCAGAAGCAATACATCTGACACAAGACAATCACAGCAGGTGAAGAGAAACAAAAGACGCTCCCAAGTGATCCTACCTGGTTCTTCCCGGCATGCTCCATGATCTTCTCGTACACAATCTCATTCATGATCTGGAAGCGCTTGATGGCTTTCTTCTCCGTAATTCCCACATAGGTCTGTTCCAGGGGCACCGGGCGGAAGCTACAAAGAGAGTGGTGGGGATAAGGCCGACCGAGCAGTGAGATGTACAGAAGACAAGATGTTCCTCACAAAATTCACTACTGTGATACACAACCTCACCAGCAAATGCAAGCAGGGCTGAAGGGCTATCCCCCTCCCCAGTTGTATCTATTGATGATATAATTCTCATACACCATGGAACTCCTCTGATCCAGTTCCGGATTTCCTCTCAAGGGGACTCCTCGCCTCTCAGCCAAAGCGCCATGGTCCCTACCTGTTGTCAAAGTAGAACAAGCCTTTGGCAGGCTCCACCCTCAGGAACGTGGCCACGTCCTCGTAATTGGGGAGGGTGGCACTCAGGCCAATGAGCCGGACATCCTCCTGGGTCATTTCAATGTTGCGGATGGCTCTGGCCACCAGGGCCTCCAGGACAGGGCCCCGGTCATCATGCAGAAGGTGGATCTCGTCCTAGACAAAACGGACACGTTAAACGGTGCTTGCAGGAAAAGGAAAGGACGTGGCGACTCTACATATCCCCCCAAGGGAGCCCCCAAACCATTGTGCCAGAAGAGGGGCCAGCCTGAGCATCTGTTCTCCCAGTCCAACGCATCACCATGGTGTGGCAGAAGCAGGAGGGCCTTCCTGCCAAGGTGACCAGAGAGACTCCGACAGCGACTCACCAAGATGATAAGCCGCACCAGCTGAGTATAGGTCCGCTCCCCTCCTTTGCGGGTGATGATGTCCCACTTCTCTGGGGTACAGACAATGATCTGGGTTGCATTTATTTCTTCCTTGCACAACTGGTGGTCCCCAGTCAGCTCAGCCACCGTGATGCCGTAGGTGGCCAGACGCTAGCAAAAAGATCGGAATGCAGAAGTTTAAAATAATTCAAAATTAAAAAGTGTATAAAGCACCTTAAAGCATTCAAAGCGCAACAGGGCAGGACTACTTCCAGTCTGGGCCTGTACATAAACTTTCTCTCTCCCCACCCCCTTTATTCTGTGTATTAGATTACCCACTACAAAAGCAGGGACCTCTGATACTTTATACAGCACCCTGTATTACTCTAAGAGCCCAGTAAAGAAAATGAGTGGAAAAGACCTTGGGAACACTGGTCCCCCATCTCTTGCAACTCCCCTTCTCCCTCATCCACTCCTTCCTCTTCCCGTTATACAAGGCCAAGCGGGTTCCCACCTTACCTTGCCAAAGCTGCCCACCATTTCCTGCACCAAGGACCTCATGGGTGCAATGTAGATGATTTTAAAGTCATCCACGTTGATTGTGCCGTCCAGATTGATGTGCTTCCCGATCTCACGCAGCATGCACATCAAGGCTACGTTGGTCTTCCCGGCACCCTGGAATACAGAAGGAAATGCAGCTGAAGATCCCAGCTCACCTGCTTCGTGCACAGAACCATAGGGACACACTTTTCATCCATAAAGAGCTAGACTGAAAAACTAAAAACCGCAGCAAGGGCAACCTGGGGGCCATCAGCTATAGCCCCAATGAATGCTAAGAGAAGAACACTTACCGTGGGTGCGCACAGAAGCAGGTTATTATCCGTCTCGAGCGCGGCACGGTACAGTTTGCTCTGAATCCGATTCAGTGTTTTGAACCCCTCAAACCCAGCCTGCACATATTTGGGGAGCTTCTCCACCGGAACTAATTGCTAAAGGAGAGAAACAGAAATCACCATGGCTGTGACGACCCCCACCAACGGTAAATGTGCAAGATGCGATCTTTAAGACTAGAACAGCAGTGGCTCGAGACCATGGCCGCCTCCCACAGCTGCTTTAGACAACAGGCTTGGGTCCCCGTTCTGCTCGTGGAGGCAGATGTGGAAGAAAGAAGGCTTAAAAGAGCAAGGAGGGTGAAGAAGAAAAAAACCTCAACTGGGCAGCAAATAAAAATAATAATTCATCTGAAGCAAGTGACAGGCTGGCGACAGGAAGTGGGACAAAGTATACCGGGTCTGTATTCCCCATGTATCAATTTATTCATCTGACTGATTAGCAGCGATCAAGGGTGAGGCACGTTTGGGGGGAGGGCTGCTACTACTAAGCCCTCTGTCCACTTTTTCAGCTGTTGAGAGATCCGCAGGGTAAGTTTTGCTCTGGGTATCCTCTTTCTGAAAGGGAGGCTTGTGGGACAAGATTCCCTCCATGGTGGCACTGCTTTTATGGCATGAACACCCGAGGAAGACATGTCAGGACACCTTGAGGCTTACGATGAACATGCTACAAAGGATAAGTTTCCCTAAAATGTTCCAGTTGGTCCTACTCCTAAGACAACGTTGCCATTTCTAGGTTTGCTCATTAGATTACTGCATTAGATTTCTCTTTCCAGCTTCACACAAACCCCATGGCTACCTCCCTGACAGACCAGGAAACCACAGCACATGCAGGTTGTGATGATACGCCACCCAAAATACATCAGTAGAGTAAATTTCAAGTTCCGGAAGCCAGATGTCGGTTGAATATCAGGAGAAACTTCTTAACTGTTAGAGCAGTACAAGGGGACCCATGACCTCAGGGGGAGGTGGATGAGCATTCCAAGGCTGGAGGCATTTCACACCCCCTCTGTCTGATCTGCTTTGACCAAGCTTCTTTCCTTAAGCAAGGGGTTGGACTCAAGGGCCTTGAAGGCTCCTTCCAACTCAAAGGATGCTATGATCCAGGTCGACCGAAGGCAGCACAGCTGGTGAGGCCATGAACGAGCAGCGGTTTCCCCAAAGGCCAGGCCCCAGGATCTCCCATCCAAAGGGGGTGTTCGTAAAACTCACCTCATCTGAACCAAAGGGCTTGGGCTTCAAGGCCGGGACGTGGACCTCCTCGTAGCCTTTGCGCTGCCTCCGGAAAGAACCATCCGGCAGCTGGCACCGTTTGTTGGCCATGAAGTGGCTGCCCTGGGCGAACACAAGGTCCTCCAGGTCTAAAACTTGCCGAGGGGCCAACGCCTGAAATCGAAGAAAGCCAGACAAAGAATAAATAAGATGCCAGCTTGACAGTCCATTTATTTCATGTTTAAAGGGGCTGAAGGGTTTTTCTTCCACCCCACCAGCCAGCCGCCTGGAATGGGGCCACTCCTGCAGCCTCCCAGTTCAGACGGTTTCAGGAGCTCCCAGATCCGCAAGAACCCTCCCGGAAACCAACATACCTCCCCGCCTTGGTCCAGATCCATTGTTTCTAGGTCTGTGTCCATACGAGACTGGCGGACCCGTTCCCTGCGAGAGCGTTCCTCCTGAAGCAGGGGAGACAAAACGGCCACTCAGCACGGATTAGAGCTCAGAAATCAGAGGGCCTGGAGAGCTTGGCAAGGGCTTGGGTTCTTCTCCTATGAGCTAGTTTTTCTCATCTGCCTTCTTCCTTATAGACCTGTTTTCTTGGATTTTGCTTCCAAAGACTAGCAATCATATTTTCTTCATAGACAGCATCTCCTAATATGAGTTGGGGAACCCCTTCACTAAAGCTTCTATGCCAAATATACTTCTCACCTAATAAGTGTACTTCAGAATTAATACATAGTACTATCACAGACTTAAGATGTTTCTATGAACATGAAACTACCAGTTGCCATTCCTAATCAGAGGAAGGTGTGCTTATTCCATATTTGAAACGTTTCAAATTCTTCAGCTTCATCAGCACCTTTCTGAAACCAGCACAACACAGCAAAAACAGCTTACACTTTGAACACGGCAGTGAGCCAAACCGGAAATCAGCCATTCAAACTGGGGGTCGGCTTCACTCTCTCACAGTCCTGACCAGCTTCACAGGAGGATCGTCAAACCTTACCCGAATTAAATCTTCCTTCTCCGTCTCATGCAGCTGATACAGGAACTTTGACAACTCCGGGTCGGATTCCATCTTTCCCATGATCCTCTCCTTCTCGGCTTCACTCTGAGCGCTCGCCAAGAGGGTGCAGTACAGGACTGGGAAGAGAAGAAGGGACAGTAGCACCTGAAGCTTACAGAAAAAAGTAATCAAAACCACACACATCCCTGCAATCTCAGGAATTCAATGCACCACATATAAGCTGGATATGGACTCTTTATTACACTTCTGGTGTTGGATGTGGAATTCTATGACATCCCCACCATCCTTAACCCATGACAATACTCACAGTTGTAAAGACTCATTCTAAATAAATATCCCACCATAATAATACCTCAGTTTACACAGGATATACTTCCATCCTACCCTGTTTTAAAGCACTCCAATATCTACAAGAGAAACAACAGCAACCCAGAGATTCTCCATTGCCCTGCAGTTTAGAGAAGACCCACCAGTGCCTCTTACACTTTTCAACCCAGGATTAAATAAGATACTATTCCAAGCACATTTGGTCCTTGTTTGTTTCATGGTGGCAGTGATTTTTCTTAAATCTCCATTTGCCCCTTCCAGTCAGGAGTAGGAAGGGAAATGGAAGCCGCTCAGTAAACAAGCACACTACGACAATGTGCAGCAGCTTGGCTTTGATGGCGTCTTGCTCACAGTGAGGCACAAATACACCCCCTCTCAAGTCCTCTGGTGTGAGCAAGGGGGAGAAAGGAACAAGGCAAACTCATCTACAGAGTGGGTCACAGAATGTAAGGTGCTGCAAGAGGGACCTTGGCCGCCTCTCCCTTCCTCCATCCCCCATCAGAAATGAAATGACAGTCGGCCTCTCGTCTAAGTCCTCTACGCGCACCACAGGGCTTGGGTTACGTCTGTGGCAAGCCAACCTGTGGCGTTCTCTATGCAGAGCAACCCCACACGCACGCACTCACTCATCATCCTGTGCTGTCGCAGCACTTTAATGAAGTCAAACGTGTTGAAGCCCAGCAGCAAGACCAGCTGGTTCTCGCATTCTCTGTCATCGCTGGCCGTCTGCAGAGAGAGGAAAGAAGAACAGGTCGCACCTCCAGCCCAGCGAGAGCCGCTCCTCCTTACAGAGAGGTGGCCAGGGAGAGAAGGACCAACCAAGGCATATAGTAGTGCACATATGAGTCAAGAAAGACCTCCCAAAGCCAGGCCTGAGAAGGGGAAGGAGTCGGAGGACCACGACTGGGAAATCTCAAGGGGAAGGCAAGCATCGCTCCCTCCATCTTTGCGTCCGACACACACACACACACACACAGCCCCCGCTGTTCAGAAGGAGGCATTCCAAAAGCCAGAGGAACTAGAAAAGGCTCGGTTTTCTACTATGAGAAGAGAGGCAGATGGCTGCCTTCCTCCATGCCTCATAGTCTTTGTATACACCATCAATTAATAAATAAATGTATTGGGTCACTTAAAACCCATGGAAGGATCAGTCCCACATCAGCAAAGGAACGGAACCAAGCAAGGCACCTTCAGGATTTCCAAGACTTCGTCAGCCTTCTTCTGGGACACAATGGCATCGTCATAGAAACGGCTCAGCTGCCGCTGGAGCCAGAAGGCGTCGATGTCCCGGGGGTGCAGGTCTTTCTTCTTGGAACTCATCAGCTCACCCGACGCCACCAGCTGAGAAGAGAGAGCAAAGGAAGCGCTGATGGAAGGCCGACCCTTCGGAAGAGCCCAGAAACCCTACGTGAAGCCAGCGGCAGGCTTGGTACGTCTCTCCGCACGTGGCGGATTTCCTCCATGACCCACTTTTTCAGGCAGGCTTGGTAACAATCATGACTGAACCCCGGAGTACTTTTTTAAAGCCGATACAGTGTTTGATGTTTACTTGCTTTTAATCATTCAGTTCCATTTTAATTAGCTTATAATGTGTCTTTTAATGTTTAATTTATGGTGTTTTAAAAAATGCTGTTCCTTTTAATATTGTGAGTCACCTTGGGTCCCCTTATGGGGAGAGAGGTGGCATGCATGCATGCATGTATACATAAATAAAATGTTTTGCATACGTAGTGGTAAGGGAGCTCCCCATTATTCAGATCATTACCCCCAATAAAAACACTCACACTTGGTGACTGACAACACACAGCTGTGTGGTCAGCCACTACCTTAGTACAAATGGCAAAAACCCTGTAGGTTTCAGGGTTTTTTTCCTTCCACAATGACTCACATTGGCCGAAAGAGTGCAGCGAACGACCGCTTCGTCTCCTTCCATGTCATCGTCCGAAGCTTCATCCCGGACTTCTCCATAGACATCCTCATCACCCTCCTGTTGGGTCAAGAGGACTCCTGTTTAGTGGCCTTTCCAGAAAGCTCTGCCAACATTCCCCAAACCTTAAAATGTTTCCATTTAGGAGTATGACGACAGCACAGCAAAGGGACTGAACTTTGAAAAGCAGGAGAACAGTGCCGGAAGCGGACCAGATCATGTCTCTCACTGGTTGATGAGCTTGGGTCAAGGAGACCCCCAGACAAAACGGGCTCTTGTTGTGTAATCTAGGTGCCAGAAAACTTGGAAGGCAGCCACCCCCGTTCCCCATGAAAGCAAGAGCAGGAAGTCAGACCCTCGCCAATAACAACCCCAAGCCAGCGCGCTAACCTCACATCAAGTACTCTTAGGACAAATCATCCACCCCTGTCCCCCCTCCCTAAAAAGGGCTGAAGGAAACAAGGCATGGGGTCATCTTTACTGGTAATGGTAACATCATGTGAGGCTCTGAATGGGGAGAGTCAGATTCAAATCATCACTCAGCTTGTGATGATTGTTAAGTGGTATCAGGTTAACCAGTCCCTCGGGGAGTGGGTAAGCATGGGGGCAAATCTACTTCACTCAGCTTATCCATTCCCCATATTCTCCCTAACAGAAGGAACACCACCACCACCACCCGTGTCTAGAGAGAGAGAGAGAAGGATGCGAGGGGTCACGCTTGGCCTCTTGGGGCCTTGTGTGCCCCTTTCCCCGTTCCTCGCCAAACAAGAGCGCCTGTGGACTCACCTCTTCATCTGACTCAAACTGCACATTCACCCCATAGGTCTCATCAATGTTGTCATCTGCAAAAGGAAGATCAAAATCAGTTACCGAGTTTTCAGGTCACAAGCTCTACTTCCAAGACTGGACGGCTTACTCCAGAACAGAGGGGAACTATCGTCACTGTCTTCTCCCTGACCGATCCAAACAGCAGCCAGAGTTGAATCCCAACCCTGTGCTGGGCCCCAACAGCTCTTTGTATAAACCAAGAATGCAACCACACGCACGGAGCTCAGTTCTTGGCACGCCAAGACTCACCTACATTTAAAGTGGCTCAGAGGGGCACGGAAGACGGTACCTGGTGTTCAACTCAAGAGAGAGAGGAGCCGGCCGGGACTCGAGCTACGTATGAAGTGGCCTTAGACGAAAGCAGACCACGGGACGGTTGGGCTCAGCACCATCTACTCCAGCCGCTTGTCTCCAACAGATCCAGCAGACACTTTCAACCCAGGGGTAGGGAATCTTTTTTTTTCAGCCTGTGTACCTTCATGGCTCAATTTCCAGGAAGAAAACACCAGCGGCAAGCAGAGCTCTCTCTCTCTTATCATCATCATTCTATCCACTCATTCACACTCTCATTTTGATTTAACTTCTGAGTAATTCTGTGATCTCCTTAAAGAACGTGGCAGGGAACAGACACGGATCAAAGAACGAAGGACTCTATTCCAGTTTCAATGGACAAATGAGGAACTGAGGAAAGAGAGGTGCCGAGGGGCAAGACCTACCCATGTTCTGGTTCTCCTTGTCCCCGCCATAGTCTGTGATCTTCTTGCCCAAGTTCACCAGCACATGGTAACGGGTGTCGTCCGTCTGTCCCAGAAGTAGGTCAATCTCTTTCCGCCTCTCCTTGTCCCGCAGCTTCTCATTCTTCAGGACAGCCAGAACCTCGTCAGCCGCCCCGCAAAGGATGTCTCGAGGCTGTAAGAAAGAAGGGGCGAACTCAGAGGAGCGCCAGCTGACAGAGATCCAAAGGAAGGCCACTGAGAGGCAGCAGGGAAGGAACCGTATCCTCAGGCTGGCAGAAGCACAGAAACACTTTGTTTCAAAACCTGCGGATGGGTTAAGAAACCGCCCACTGAACACGCTCAGCGGCAGCAGGCACGCTGATTGTCAAGAACCTTGTGGCTATCATCCTACCAGAAAAAACACAGGCAATCCAGGGGGAGTGCGGGAGGGCGGCTGGGAGATCTGGCACTGGGCCGTGGACCGGAGGTTGGGGACCCCTGGCTTAGAGCACAAACTGTCACGACAACACCTGTCCCTCACTCACCTGGTCACCCAGAGCTGCCTGAATGAAGCTGAGCAAAACTTCGTAGGTTTCGCGGGTCTCCTTTGTTTTTGGTTTGTAGATAATTCCCACCATTTCGTCAATGCCCTCAGACAGCAGAGTGTAACCTTTCATCTTGTTAATGTCGTGTCTATCCTCATCACGTTTCCGCCTCCTGAAAGGGCAGGTCAAATGGAAAGGGAGTCAGTAAATGCAGGGGATACTTCTGAATGGCTTGCAGATGTCAGCCACACGAACAGACAGGTTATGTGCCTCATAATCATCATCATCTTAGAATTGCAAAGCTGGAAGGAAAACTATGGATCAAGTTCAGCCTCTGTCAAGGAGGCACCGTGGAGAATCACACCTCTAGTTTCACAGCCAGGCACCTAAAGCTATTTCTTGTGATCACAAATGAAACAGGATGGAAGGAATTTTGGGGGTTTTTATTTTTCACAAGGGGGGGCTTCCCCCCGACACAAGTGCTGGGAGGTTATTCGGCTTCTTCATGCAAGCTTTGTTACTCTGAAGAGTGGTTGAATAATCCACCCCAGGCTTTCCCAACTTCGGCTACAGCTCACATAACCTCCTGCATGGTTAATCTAGCACATATGGATGATGATTTGGTTTATTTCTCCCTAAAGAGCTTTCAGAGAACATCCTTACCCTCAGAGAATGTGAGAAGGACTAAACCAAAAGCACAACAAGAAGAAAAATGGCAGAAAAGAAGAAGCCAGCAAACAAGACAGCCCAGGAGCAGAAGAGACAGACCACAAGACAAGACAAAACTGAGCACAAACAGACCCAGAGTGAGTTTCTCCTTCCCATCTGGACAAGTGAATCAACCACGGCCATCATTTTCCTACTCTACCAATTCCTTTAGTTGTCTCTCATGTGCTTTGGATGGCAACTAGTGATCAAGTTTTGTAAGCCACTCTGGAGGGCCTTTCATCCCCTTCCCACTCTTGCACAGAAGCTCGACTGCTTAGCAACCTAAAATCCAACACCATGAGCATGAAGCTCTTTTGAGTATTCATTGATCCTAACCAACTCAAAACTTCCATCAGACGATGGAAAGACTCTTGGCTCACTTTGCTCGTCTCTCCTCCTGCATCTGGGGCTTGGTCCTCTGGGCTTTGTCCCCCATCCGGGTGCCTTCCAGCTTCCCAACCAGGGAGAGGACCTCTCCTGTAGGCTCATCCCGACGGGTCCTGTCAATCAGGGACCGATCCGCTTGAAGGACGAGGTTAGAGTTCTGCAAGAATCATAGGACAAGGTGGGCCGGGGTGAGGAAGAGACCAAGAAGAGCTGTTAGGGACTCCGGAGAAGTCAGTGAAACACACATTTTCAAATGTCCCCATCATTTCTTGTTTACTATGAACACTTAGTATCTTCCAACCTGCTGTTTATGAGAAGATCCTCCTTTCTTGTAACCGTTCCATTACCACATATACTAGCTTATGATGAGTATAAATACATCTTGCAGGTCTGGTGTAGTGCCCAGCCAGAACTATAATCTGGAAGCTTGTGCTGAAAAGCTCACCTCTGTCATAAAGCTACGTAGTACTAATACACCCCATTCTAGGTTTGCAGTTAATAAGTCACCTAGTAGTTATGGGCAAGTAAGCGAGTTGGCTAGAAAACAAAGAAAAGAGAGGTGGGGGGAAAAGACCTCTCATTTCAGCCTCTGCAAGTTCGCATTGTTTTCAGACTATTTTATTTATTCTATTTATTCTATTTGTACCCCGCCTATCTCATCAATACGACCATTAGCAGCAGAGGAAGGAAACCTGGCCCCTGAATTCTGTCTGTCCTGCATCAGACCATTTTTAGGGGTTGTATTTACTGTTTTGTTTTTACACAAGACTGCTAAGAAGAAAACCAAGCAACCTACAGAGAATACCTTCTGTGCAGGCAGCATGGAAACACAAGCTAACAGCCTTTTTATAGCAACAATAACAACGAAACGCAGGTCAGGCTAAAAGATCCAGTGAAGCGTAATGACTCGCATGCTGGATGAGGACTCAAAACGACCTGGGCTCAGGCCGTCACAGCTGCGCAGCTCACTCTGAAGCGTCCATACTTTCTCCACCACAAGCCATCTCAACAAACTGCTGCAAGCCCAGTGCTTTGAGCTCATTGACGCAAGGGTGCAACAGCAACACACCAGTAACCTTTCGGGTTTCGTACATCAAGTCAGACCATGCTTCTAACCCTCTATTTGGTTGTAGTAAACCAATAAAAGGAACTTGGTGGCACCTTAAGGACGGACAAGTTTCACCCAGCTCCCTGCTTTTGTATATGGCACGCTGGAGGCCACAAAAGGCTACACCAGGGGTTCCTCACCTTGGGTCCCCAGATGTTTTTGGGCTGCCACTCCCACACCAGCTGGGCGGGCTGGGGTTTCTGGGAGTTGTAGTCCAAGCACATCTGGGCACCCAAGGTTGGTAAGCACTGGTCTAGAAGCCTGGGTCCCCAGATGTTCTTGTACTATGACTCCCAGAAGCCTTCACCATGAGCTGGGCTGGCCAGGCCTGCTGGGAGCTGTAGTCCAGTAACATCTGGGTTACCCAAGGTTGGGAAGGGCTGGTTTATCCCAGGTAAAAAGCATGACTCTTTACAGTGCCACAAAGTCCTGTTGCTTTTTTTCACACCCTCAAGGCGCATGTGCTGTACTAAAACACGACCCGCCTTTCCCAATCTTGGGAGTTTTCTAAGGTTGGGCTGGGCGGACGGTTCCAAAACCTGGGAGACCAGATGGGTTTTGTAAGAAACTACAAATCCCAGCAGGCTGAGGGGCTACCACCGAGAGACGAGAGGCTTCAGGAAGGGGTGGCCCAAACCCTTGGGAGGTTGGGGGGTGAGGAAGGGTGAACCCAAACGCCGGCAGGCGTGCGGTTGGGGACTCCATCTCCCAGCATCCCCTGCCAGCAGCCAGGCACGACGAGGATGATGGGTGCTGGAGTACACGGCACCGCTGGGGGAAGCCGCGTTTCCCTGCTCGCCCTCTCCATCCCCACCCCGGGGCCCGGCCAAGGGGGTTCACCCCCCCACCCCATCCCACCCTGGGGGGCAGACAACCCAGCCCCAGCCCCAGCCAGTCCCCCACTCACTCACTCACTCACTCACTCACCGCCTTGTACTCATACTGCAGGCTCCGGGCCGTCACGTCCGCCATGGCGGCGGCGGCTCCAGCGGCGGCTGCTTCTCCTTCTTCCGGGCGCCTTCCGGGCTCCGCTCCTACCGCGGAAAGGCTGCCGGTGTCTCTCCCGACGGGGCCGCGATAGCGTCTCTCCCTGAATCAGACAAGAAGGGAAAATGGTCCCCGCACGCAACTTCGACGCTCAGAGCTTCCGGTTCCGGGTCAACTTGGCAAGTTCTTCCTGCAGGTCAACCAACCGGCGGCGGCCGGGATGGGATGCGCATGCGCGCGCCAGGAGGAGCCTTAGGGGTGCTACTGCTTTGTCTGCGCTTCGGACTTCCGGTTGACGTTCCATTCTCTTTCTTTTTCTCTCTCTCTCTCTTTGATTTTTCCACTCAATGGCTGCTTGAATCGTTATAGCCTTATAATCATCTCAGAACTGCGGAGCTGGAAGGGACCCAGTGGATCATCATCAAGCCCAGCCCCGGGGGGTGGGGGGGTGGGATTGAACTGCCAGCCTCTGGCTCTGCAGCCAGAGACGTAAATCCTTGTGCTGTCCATCATCATCATCATCATCATCATCATCATCATCATCATCATCATCATCATCATCATCATCTCAGAACAGCAGATCTGGATGGGACCCTGCAGATCATCATGCCCAGCCGCTGTCAAGGAGGTCCCAGTGGGGGAATCGAACTTCCTAACCTCTGGCTCCACAAACCAGATAATTAAACCCCTGAGCTATCCAGCAGTATCTTCTCCCATACTGTCAGCCACTCTAGTTTTTTCCTCCTTGGCCAGACTTTTCCTAGTCTAAATCATGTCCTCAGCTATGTCTGTCCCTGTAAGCCCAAAATAAATACTGTAAATAAATAAAAATGCTGCTTCAAAACCATTAAGCATCTTGTGGCACCTTGAGGAATTATATCATTTATAACTTTTCCAGAGAGACAGCCTTCTTCAGATGCATGGAACCTATGGGCTGATCCGCACCCTGGTGTCGGTGGCTGGGCTGGCAGAGAATGCAGTGCAATGCAATGGGAAAACGACAACGGTGTTGTCAACACTGGCCATCCTGGTTCAGCGCAGGCTTCCTGGCAATGTTCGGGCCAGCTGCACAAGTCAATGAAGGATCAGATGAGTTGCATGAGTCAGGGCCTCGTGAAGGTGTCCTAGCCGTTAGACCATGGCTATAGAACAGCCATTCCCAGCCTTGGGTCCCCAAATGTGCTTGGCTTGGTTGGCAAGTAAAAAGAAGGGAGGAAAGAGTGACTAGAAAGAAGCAGAACTAGGGACAGGTTGCATGAGTCAGGGCCTCGCTAAGGTGTCCTAGCCATGAGACCATGGCTATAGAACAGCCGTTCCCAAACCTGGGTCCCCAGATGTGCTTGGGGTTGGTTGGCAAGTAAAAAGAAGGGAGAAAACAGTGACTAGAAAGAAGCAGAACTAGGGACACAAAATCCAGTTCTCAGAGCCCTCCTACCCAATAACCGCAAAGATATCCACAGCAAGAAAAGAAGAAGAAACAAGAGGAAGCCAAGAGACCTTCTCCCACTGCTGTGGATGCCACCATCCAACACATGATATGCAGAAGGACCTCCTTTGATTTCCTCGAAATTTACCAGCAGTGCTTCTCAGCCATTCCAACCGGGTCGGGTGAAAAGGACACAAGGACTAGCCTCCTGGCTGTCTTCAAGGGCGAGGCGGCTTTCTCTTGGGAGGGCCACAGAAATGGGGAGAAGCATCGCCAGGGAATGCTAGGGAAGAGAGGAGAAACTCTCTGGCTCCAGAAGCCTCTGATGCTGGAGCAAATTCTGACGAGTGGATTCAAAAGCGGCTGGTTCCTTTACGTGTTTGGGAAGCCATGGACTGTTGTGCTTTGGAGGACTGCTCTGACTTCTAATGCTGGCCCCATCTTTTTTTCCAACCTGTTGTAGACTGATGTAGGGTTGAGCTCCTTCCTCCCATCACCCCGTCTATGAGCCAAGCTGGCTGAGAATGATGGGGGCTGAAGTTCAACATGTGTGTATCCTCAACCTGTCATGGTACAGATTATCCTGGGTTTCTAAGATGAGTCTTTCCCAGACCTGCCCAGAGAGAACATGAATGAAAAGGGGATGTTCAGTTTCCAACACAGTCCTCTACCCCTGAGGTCCTCAGTGTGCCCCCAACCCCTGAAAATGTTCTCACTCGTTGGTCTGGAAAGACTCGTAGTACTCCCTCCTCCTCAAAAACCTGAGCACGGAACATTTTCCAGACACGTAGGTTGTATCCAAAGCTCTTAGCCTTAAATAGAAATAAACGACAGAACATCCGATGTGTGTTTCTGCACAGAGAGATGCTGAGCTCCCTTTGGGAAACCCACCGCGTGTCTGGAAAATTTTGTGGCTGGTTAGAGAGCTCTGTGAGATGGGAACCTGGCGGGAGAGCCAGAGGGTGGGGAAGCAACCGCCCGCCAAAAAAGGGAGTGGTAAACCACACCTGAGCTCTCTGTACTTACGAAAGAGGGTCACCATAAGTTGGAACCAACTTGAAGACACATTGTTAGTTAATTAGAGTACCTAGCGGTTTAGCACAGGAGCTAATTAAGCTCTGGGAGAGGAAATCTACAGACACAGGTCGTAGTGAAATAGAAAAGAAAAAGTTTATTGTTCACAAAGAATCACATAGCATCCACGTTTGAAATTTGGTTTTTTTTTTTAAATAAAAAAATTATCAGGTTTGAAAAGCAGTCTTTCTTCATCTCAAGATGGCAAAAAGAAACACAAAAACCTAACACCGAGTTTTTTAAAGTCCTCCCCCCCCCAGCCATGTCCTAGTCACATTCAAGGTGTAAAAAGACCACCTGAACATTTCGTCCTCCATCATGGCTCACCCACAAAGCCCATGTTCACCAAGAGAAGAAGTCTGGGACGTGCCCTCAAAATGATAAAACTCTGTCATGACAGAAATCGGGTCAATGATTCTGGGCTGAAGCCAAGCCAGAGTATACCCATGGGAAGAAATTAAAGGTCAGGCAAAAAATAGTTATCACCTGTTTTTAAAAATGAATGAATAAGACTCAGAGCTGCTCCCCCCCCCCTCGCAACTGCCAGTTTGTCCCTCCGCTGTGTCTTGGACGTCTAAGGCATTGTACACATGGCACTGTGTTATTGGCTATCAATGAATTATGTTATATCACACACAGAGACACCCCCCAAAAATGAAGTAAAGGTTTGAGGAAGAAAGTGTGCTTGATTTGAGGTGATCTGATCTGATCTGATTTTTAAAGACCCAAAAGGGGTCCAGAAAGAACCCCTCAGCCCTAAAGCCCACCTGGTTCTTGATTCACTGAGTTTGCAAATTACCGCCCTAGGCTTCTGTATTCCACAGGAGAGAGAGAATAAGACAGACAGACAGACAGACAGACAGAGAGAGAGGAAAGCAGACTTGTCTGGATCGTGTCCATGAAGACAACCTCAGCTTTGACTTGGCTGTGTCCACCTGGCTTCCACCCTGGCTCTCCTGCACCTCACCTTTTTATTTATTTGTTTGTTTGTTTGTTTAATTATTTAATTTAACTTATATGCCACCCACAGTACCCAAAGGTCTTATAGGAGATGCCATTGCCTTCTCTTCCTCCTCTGAGATTCTCCTTTTGGTCACAACAGAGGGCTTTCTCTTACTCACAACTCTTCACAATCCACAAGGTCGGACCCTGCCCCTCTCATTTCCCTCTCGCGGCACTCTCCTAAAAAATAAGAAATGCAAGCACCCCATATAAAGCACTTCAGAGACCGTAGCCTCCAAACTGGACAAGACTTGAGGATGCTCGCGTGCTGTTGTACCCAAGTCCTGTTTAGGGGCATCTCCGGGAGGCATCGGGTCAACCATCAACCATGATGCGAACAAAACGAAGGAGGAGGTAGAGCTTGGCTTTGATCCGTCCAAGCTCTTCTCATGATTTCATAAAAGCCAAAGGCCACGAGGAAGGTTAGAAGACTTTGGGAGAGGAAGGTGACGTGATGATGTCTAGAAGGGAGGAGACCCAAAAGACCCTTCTTGTCAGGACTGAGGAGTCTTATCTCTCCCTGACCAACCCTTCTCCAGAGACCAACAGGAACAGTTATAAAGGGACGCCAATCCGGCCATCCTTCTTCCAGGTCTCCGCGTCAAACTGGCCTGTCCAGAGGATACTGGCTGGCGCTCGGGCTGACGGTGGGGTTTTGCGGGGAGCTGTAGTTAAGGAGGGGCTGCGGCTGCTTTGCTCTCAGTCTTAAACCCCCCAGGCTTGAGCTGCAGGGGTCCCTGTACACATACGGTGACGGAGCGCCGGGTCCATACGTTGAACCAGGAAGACCCACGGGGCTCGCCAGGCTGTTGAGGGTCTCCAAAGATGAGACGCCAGGCATGGACGCCCCTCCCGCTGCCGAGAACACCCCCTGGGGAGGAAAGGAATTGAGGTTCATGGAGTTGAAGAATTGGAAGCCTTTGTTATGGATCGGACTGGCATGGAGACCCTTGGGGGCCCAGGCGCTGTACGTGTAGCTTGGGTAGAGGTCCTCGTAGGGGTTCCCAGGCAGGCTGTTGAGCTGAGCACCGAAGCCCCCTTTGCAAAGCTCCGGCTGCTGGTGGCGCTCCTTCTTCCGCCACTTCGCTCTCCGGTTCTTGAACCAAACCTTGTGACAAAGGGAGAAAACACAAGAAACGGGAAGAGGGGAAAAAAGCTGAACTCTTTCCTTCAGTGGCTTGTAATCCATTCAATAACAAGTTGCTTTAAGCAGGAAAATCTGAGCGAGACGTTTCCATCGCTTTCCCCTCTGAATATATCTTCAAATGCATACCCATACTTTGAACCCATATGCATGGGGGGGCATATACCAAGGAATCATGGCTTTGAAAAGTTAAGACACCTCTAAGGTTTACTTGCTTTTAATTATTCAAATATATTTTAATTAGTGTACATTTAATTGCTGTCTTAATGTTCAACTTATTATGTTTTCAATTCTATGCTTTTAAGGTTGCGAGCCGCCTTGGGTCCCCTTGTCAGGAGGAAGGTGACCTATAGATAAAACAAATTAATAAAATAAATAATAAACATGGATCGGTGGGAGAGAGACATGTGCCTAGAGAACTCCCCCATGAATACTGTACAAGGCAGCAGAAGGAACTGTCTGCGGCCGTTCTTTGAAGTAGTATCACCTCCAGATTTATCCTCTTGTCCTTTATGCAAGCACCTCCCATTCAGCCCAGACTGGCCACTGGCCAGCTTGAAAGTAGCCAGCCAGGGCTGCAGGACAGCTGCTACTAGATGATGATGAATCAAGGGAGGGGAGGGGGACATCTGACGCCAGCTGGAGCCACTGGATTTTTGCCCTGGGGTACCAAAAGTGACCAAGCACTGGCATCTAGAGAGGAAAATGTATTGGTGGGTGGTTCTTTAGTCATTTATTTTGTTCCTGTGCTCCCTTTCCCCCAATCATCTGGGGCTCAAGGTGGCTTCCCAATCATTGGAACACAAACCAATCAATAACAGGATCAATTATTACATTAAGAAAACAACTCAACATATATTGCTATTAAAATGATTAGGTAAAGCTGATCCAAACAGCTTGAAAATAGATTGAAACAGACTGTTCAGGGGTTTAAGGCACCTGGCTATGGAACCAGAGGCTGGGGGCTTGATTCCCCCCCCACTGCGCCTCCTTGACAGGGGGCGGACTTGAGGATCCCATCCAGCTCTCTGCAGTTCTAAGATGATGAGGATGATGATAAAATAATAAGCAGCACCCAAAGCTGAAACTCTTCACTGGCCCAATTGGCTATTAAAAGCCTGCCCAAAAAGTGTGGTCTTTACCCGCCACCAGAAGGATAAGAGGGAGGCAGCCAACACGGCTTCTCAGGGGAGCGGGGGCTTTTTCCGGGTAAGACATAGTTTGGGGTCTTGGCAGGAACCACGTCGTTCAGGAATTATGCTTTCCAAGCTTCCACACCATGACTCAGGGACTGCCTAGAACCCAAGAGATTAACTCTCTCTCTCGTGCCAGTTCAAACTTATGGCAACTTTCCCGGGTTTTCTAAGAATAAAACACTCAGAAATGGTTTCCCAGACCCTCCTTGGAGGGGTGCTCGGACACCATCCTGAAGCTTGCCCGAGGCGCGCAAGAGGGCACATCAGGTAAGGATGGGAACTCTGTCGTCCACACCTATTCTGGATGAGTTTGCCCAGACCAGCCCCCCCCCTCGGAAGCCACAGCAGGGATTCACACTCACCATCCCAACTGCTCCAACCCACCAAGCTAGGGGAGCTCTCAGACAGAGATACTCCCCTAGAAGAATCCCGTACTGGTTGGGGAAAGTTTGCATTGATGCCTGCAGACCAACCTATGGGTCGCCTTCCAATCAAGCAGGCGTTGCCGTTCTGGACCGAGATTTCTGTAGCTCAGCATACCCATGGAACAAGGACCCTCTAAACCTGCTCTCCTGCTGATCCTAGATCGTTGAAAGGTTCCCATGTTTCTCTATAGCACTATGAACACCGTTCCACCCCAGACACTTGTTTGTTTATACCATTCCGTCCTCTGGCGCCCCTTTAGATGGCATCAGTCACGCTAGAAGCGTGGTACACACAGCCTTTTACCCAGCAGTGAAAGAGAAGTCAGACGGGGCTCCTTGATCTTGCTCAGGTTGAGAACCATAGAATGATTGAGATGGAAGGGGGCCTCTAAGGCCATCGGGTCCAACCCCCCCCTGCTCAAGGCAGGATCCAAATCAAAGTATATTTAGTTTATTTATTTATTTGATTTATATCCCGCCCATCTGGTATATTTATACCACCCTGAGCGGCTAACAACAGCATATATACAATTATGGTAATATAAATCCAAAGCATCAGTTATATCTGACAGACGGTTGTCCAATATTCTCTTGAATGCCTCCAGCGTTGGAGAGCTCACCACCTCCCGAGGTCATGGGTCCCATTGTCGTACTGCTCTAACAGCTAAGAAGTTTCTCCTGATATTCAGCCTAAATCTGGTTTCCTGTGACTTGAGCCCATTATTACACTCTGGGATGATCGAGGACAGATCCTGTCCCTTCTTCGCATGTCAGCCTTTCAAGTGCTTGAAAAGTGCTCTCCTCTCTCCCCTCTGTCTTCTTTTCTCAAGGCTAAACACGTCCCGTGCCTTCAGTCTTTCCTCCTACGGCTTGGTTTCCAGTCCCCTCATCATCCCTGTTGCCCTCCTCTGAACTTTGCTGACTCTTTTCCCCGTCCACTTGAGCGTCTGGCAAGTCAACCTCTCACTGTAAAAAGATGTCAACAGCTGAGGGCTCAGCGATAGATTACAGCTCGTAGTTTATTAGAAGAGAGAATTCCTTAAGTGCTGAAAGACATGTGATTATCACAGCCGCTTGCCCCATGTTTCTCACATTAACTCACTTTGCTTTGGGGCTGATCTTTGGGAGGTACCCATAGCCTGCTTTTGGAAGTACCCTTCTCTGGAACAAGTTCTAAAGATGGGCTCTCCGTCCCATCTGGTTTTGCCCAGGGCCAAGTTCAGGAGCTTCATTCCTAATACATCTCCCCCTGCCTTGCCTTTCTTATGGCAACCCTCTGCTCACCCTGATCCTGGGCTCTGTCAGGTTGGTCCAGCCAGCAATCTCCTCCCGGGTGCTCATGTCTGGGTAGCGATTCCGCTGGAAGGTGGCCTCCAGTTCCTGCAACTGCTGGCTGGTGAAGTGGGTCCTCTGCCTCCGGGGCTTCTTTTTCCCCACATTCGCCTCCTCTTCGCCGCTGGAATCGGAGGATTTGCAATGAACAGCCTCACCATTCTCTCCTGGGGGAGACCAGAAACAAAGGAGGTGTTAGCAATGGGGGTGTTTGATTGACCATAACAAGGCACCTTGCATTTTTTTAAAAAAAGGATCAAAAAGATGTTGCTGTTATGTGCTGTCAATCCATCTTGTATTGGGTCTTCCTCTTCTCCTGCTGCCTTCCACCTTTCTCAGCGTGTCTTTTCCAGAAAAACTTGCCTTCTTATTATGTAACCAAAGTAGGCCAGCCTCGTTTTCAGCATTTCAAAAGATGGATGTGCAGATTGACAGGGGCGGGGGATTGCCAAAAGCAAAGGAAATAGTTTCAAGGATTCCCAAGACCTATAAGACCCTATTAGCAGTTTATGTCGGAGGAGGACGAAGCCACCACCGTAGCTCATTGTTGGAGCACAGGTTTTGCACTTCAAAGGTCCAGAATCTCCGGGTAGAACCACAAGCTACGTTAAATGAGATGATTCCCTAATGAAAAATGCTGGATTTCACCACATTAAGTTTTATGTCATAAAGTTATTGTTTTTCAATTCAAATTTATCCATGCCAAATTTGATGCAAATTGTGAGGTAACTAGATAGTGAAGTTACCCTCTCAGTTCCTTCCTTCCTTCCCAGTTCTTCTTGATATGATTTATGTGCTCTACAATACCTGCCACATATTTCCATTTTTAAAAAAACTCGGAAGCAATGGTGGATGATAGGCCATAAAACAGAAAACATACCACGTTCAACAACTGAACATTTCCCAGCCTTTCATGGCACCAAAAACGTGCCCTCTGAGGCTGCCACCTCATACCGGGGTCAACCCTGGGTCTGGCAGAGATGCCACCACCATCGCTGAATACTAGAGAGGCTTGTTTATGAGCAGGAGAGGAAACGAAGATAATCAGGAGTTTAAGAGCTCTCTGCCTGGACCTGGGTTAATCCCACGTATTTAGAAAGATTGCAGGGCAGGGTGAAGAGTTCTATGACAGAGCGGAATCAGTTTCCCGGAGGCCGGTCTGTCATCGCAAGACAAAGCACGGCACCTGCAGTTCTGTATCCGCAGGGCATCTCAATCGGAGGGAGGTCCCAATATGACTAATGTTTTGGTTTGTTTTTAATGATAGTCTTTCAAATTTTAGATATCTCTTTTGAGGGAGGGCAGGTCTGAAAAGGTGGATGTGAGAGATATACAGTGGTGCCCTGCAAGACGATGTTAATTCGTTCCACTGAAATCGCTGTCTTGTGAAAACATCATCTTGTGAAAAGCGTTTCCCCATTGGAATGCATTGAAATCCGTTTAATGCGTTCCAATGGGGAAAAATTGTCATCGTTTTGCGAAAATCGCCCATAGAGAAACCGCTTTGCGAAGCACCGATCAGCTGTAAAAATTGCTGTTTTTGCGAAAATTTGTCCCTAAAAAAACCATTTTGCGAGTTGCGGACCGAGTTGTCAAAATCGTCTTGCGAAAATCAGTCCTGGAAAAATACCCGAAACATCGTCCAGCGAAAATCACCCATAGGAAACACTGTTTTGAGAAGCGCTATAGCGATCGCAAAAAGTCATCGTCTAGTGAATAAACCGTTTTGCGGGGTAATTGTCTAGGGGGACACCACTGTACATATTTTTTACCTTTACCCAAAAATGGGTTGAGAAACACAGACACACCGTGATGATGACTGTTGGAGGTTCACCCACAAAGGATCCGTTTGAATCTGAAGTAGAATGTTCTTCATTCATAACTGAGAACCTAGTTTGGAATCTCCTACCTTCTCAACATGCACCCAAAGAGTGGGCACAGGTTCAGCCACCCTGATTATAGGGGACACGAGGCACGAGGCAAGTTCCAAAACCTGTTAGATCTGCTGCCGCCAAGGTGACAATGAGGCAAAAGAAGTCTGCGCGAATAGCGTGGAAATCTGGACCTCCCATGACCCATTCTCAGCTCTTTCTGTCCACCTCCATCCTGTGGCAAATATACGACATGACGTGATCTGTGCAAAGGGATCTCCAGATCACCCCTTAAGAGACTCAACTGTTCCAACGGCCAGCAGTTCAAAAGCAACCCAGGCAAGCTGGTTTCTTCCAAAACTCATTTCTCTCCCCCATGCCTTACCTCCGCTCTCTGTGCTGGGTGTCCCAGCCAGAGTCCTCGGTGGCATCCCGTCAGTGTTTCCATCCGTGGCTTGCAACAACGCGGACATAGTCCCAGAGGTCCAGAGACGGATCCTTTTGTTGAAGTCCACCAAATCACGGCGTGTCCTGCTCTACAGCTGCTGAAAGAGTCCTCCAGACAGCAAGGCCCAAGGCTTCAGATCTGGTGCCAGGAGACAATTAAGGAAGAGGACAGCACAAAATTGGGGGGTGCTAGTCTTTCAGAAGAGCAGGCATTCCTGGTTATGGGCACCCTCTCTGCGTGAGATATTTGGAGAACCTCTTTCTGTGTCTTAGATCTACCCTAGGAGTCTCTTTCATGGAGTCAAGGTAGCTATTCTTGAAAATTCAGCTTTTTTTCCTCTGCAGGTCCACGCCAATGTCTAAGTCCTGGTCTCGCACCCCTGAAAACAAAGTTTGCAACTTCTTAGAAGGTGATTTTGCTGTCCACGTCCGGCTGTCTTTTAACCCTCTCCCGCCTCCTTCTCTCACATGTTTGTTTTCCTTTCGCAAGGCTGCAGCGTTCCTTGGCTTGCCCGGGAGAAGGGCGGTGTGTGTCAAATATCAGGGACAGCTGAGTGCAGTCTAACCAGGTGCCAATCAGCCACGGTCCGCACAGCAAGCGGGGGAAAGGCAGACATGGGGACGGATGAAAAGAGGGCAGCTGGGAGGGCAGCGTTTCTCGTTCAGAAGGCTCGTCGGACCAAAGCCGCGGCAAAATATGCACCGTTTCGGCACCAGTTGTCTCCGTGATGACATTATCCCCTTGGGTGTTTCATTCATCCTTGCTCCTTAGCTCTGACACCACCCCGCAGGCGCACGGAAAAGACTGGCCCTCAGGATCAGATCAAAGGCACCTCAAGCGCCAGATTGTGTGTCCGGCAGCAGCTGGTCGGGGACTTTTGGAAACTCTGAGGCAGAGGGAAAAAGTTGCCCCATAGGGTTGTGCATGAGTCCTCTGGCCCACTCTAGAGCAATTAATGCCAAATCATCATCATCATCATCTTGAAATTGGAAGGGACCCTATGGATCACTGAGTCCACCTTCTGTCAAAGAGGCACGGTGCGGGGAATCAAACTCCCAACGTCTGGCTCCACAGCCAGATGCCTAAGCCCCTGAGCTATCTAGCCGTTCAGTGATGATGGCAGAAGGGAGGCAAAATAGTTTCCCACTCCTCCATTGCTGAAAGCACGTGTCTGTAGTCCAGTGACGCCCAATCTACATGAAGGCGCCTTGACGTCTTACACGGGTGGCCGCCCCGAGGGAGGCCTGGAAATCTAGCCCTCGAAACTGGGCCTTCCCTGTGGTGGCCCCATTGCTTTGCCACAAGTTTTGGTGAAATTAAAATGCAATTAATTAAATCACTAAAGGAATTAAGGCCATAAATGGGCCAGCCCCTTCTGTGGACGACAACTTGAGACTGAGGCATGCTCAAGGCAGAGATGGCCCGCTCCCCAGATTATTCTAGGCAGAGACCCGACCCCGCCCTGGCCATCTAAGAGGGAGGAAGCTGAGCATCAGAAGCCGGAGTGCCCCTGCGGGCAGGTCCTCTCTTCCTCTCTCTCTCTCTCTCTCTCTCTCTCTCTCTCTCTCTTCTCCCGGTTGGGCATCCCTTCCTCAAGGCTGGCTGTCCCTGGTGAGCGGGAGAAGCTGCTCTCCCCCTCCACCCCTCCCTTAGCTAATGAGGCCATGAAAGACGGGCCATAAGAGCTGCTCCTGCATCATCATCATCCCAAGGAGCTGGTCAGGATCCCAGGTTCCCTTTCCGTTGAGTGACGGAGCAGAGAGACAGCATGTCCTTCAGCCGGCCTTCCTCCCGGCCACTCAGACAGACCGGCTTCTGCCAGGCCTTTGGGAATCCAGGCGGCTCATGTTCTCGGAGGCAGCGACACCGGCTCCATCCCATCCTTTGCTCTTAAAACCTGCAAGACAGAAACCTTTCCCCACCAGACCCCTTGCCAACAGACCGAGCTACAACTCCCATCATCATGTCCCTAAGGATCACGGGTACCATAATTGAAGACGTCTGAAGAACTCACTGGGTTGGGGGAAACAGAAAACAGAAGCCACTCTTTCAATAACAGTAACAACAACAATAACAGTGATGGTAACAATA